CTCACTTTCCCCTTTTTATGCGGTACGGAACCCCAGTCCAGGGAATAGCACCCCTATATTTATAGTGGGTCACATCAGCTAACCCTTCCTGAAAACACCCACACAGACCTACCCAGAGGCATGCCTCTTAGTTGGTTCTAGATCCAACCAAGTTGACAACCATTGTACACCATCACCATGGGCGGCAGATTAGGATCTGCATTCTTAGGTGCTTCTGCTAAGTAGATAGGCTCACTGTGGTCAGGGTGGCAGACGGCTGAACCTCGGGCCATACAGAGGCTGTCTACAGTCCCTCTTTCCAGTCTCAGGGTGGCTTTGTTGTGGATGATCAACTGTGTGACCCCCTAGTCACAGCAGACTCAGGGGTCTGTAGGAGAGAGGCAGTCCCGAGATTCACCCTTTTGTTCTGAAGCCGAACCCGTGTCTCATTCAAGGTCACAGATCTGGCAGGTGAGTGCCTGGGATGTCAGCCCGGTCCCTAACACCCACTTGTTTGCTTGGTGACCTTGTAGTTTCCTGTTCTACTCACCTGTAGCCTCTGGGCTTCTGGGAAAGCTGCAGCTGAGCAAGCAAACCAGGCATTCACATAGGCAGCTGCGGGGTCCTTGGGGAGGACGGGACCTCAGTGGGTTTACACTAAGGGATGGATGAGGACAGTATGGGCATGAACCTGAGAAAGAGCCCCTCAGGTGTTGGCTTCATTCAGGTCTTGAGCTAAGGGGGTGGTGGCATATGCCAGGCTTCAGAGAGGCTTAATCCTGAGAAGGACTCGCCTTTCCTATCGGCTGGGCAACCACGGGTCTTGGTTCTGCCCAGAGAATGTTGAGGCTGCCGGGGACCTGAGCTTCTGTGGATGAGCAGCGTATTCCCAGGAAGGCAAAAGCGGCAGGCCAGTTGTTCTGGCTTTGTGAATGCGGAGTTTAGCCGCGGCCTCCAGGCACAGAAGGCTGAAGCTACAGTGAGGACCGCTGTGTATTTAGCTGTCCTTTAGCGATCAGGTTGCACGGGGGCCTTGAACTTGATATGTAACTGAAGATGGCGTTGGGCTCTTCCTCTTCCCTCGGAAGGGCTGAGATCATAGGCCTGCCCCTCCACAGCAGACTCTGGTGGCTGTTCACATGGCTCTTTAGAATCCTTTCGACTTCCCACCCCTGTTGTTGACTGTGTCTTGTCCAAGCTACATAGGTCCCTGAAAGCTGCTCAGTCCCCTGGGCCCACACTCACTCTCCGTGGCCTCCCGAGCTGGACTTCTGTCCCAGTTCCACGCTGGACGAGATGGGAGCTCAGACTTTGATCATAGCCCAGTTCTGTGCGCCTCTCATTCCTCCCAGGAGGCTCCACCACAGGGGGCTAGAAATCAAAAGTGGCGAATTTTAGTTCTGAGCCTTCTACTGGCTTTTTACAGACATCCCCCTCCCCCAGGCCATGGTTTCCACTCCAGCAGGTGGGGCAGAGGTAAGGATGTCATTTTCAAGAATGTTCCTCTAATGGAGCTCTCTTTTTAGGCCAGAGGGCACCCTGTTTGCTTTGCGCCTTGCCAGGACAGGCAGGGCCGGCAGAGTGGACTCCTGCGCCTACTGCCACTTTTATTGCCGCCACTGTTCTTGTAAACACGTGGCACGGCACATTGCTGCTAATCTTTGAGGCCTCTGGGCATTTTCAGAATGGAATCCTCGCTGGCCTGGCTTGTCGGAGCCTTCATTCCTGTTTCCTGGAGCCTCTCGTGGGGCAGGCAGCTGGCCACACAGTCCTGTGCATCCAGCTTACGCCCAGAGCATGACCATGCCGGACCGAGCCCAGAGCCTCTTGGGGCTTACACGAGGAGTCTCTAATCTGATTCCCACTGTGCCAACGAGGAAGTCAAGGCCCAGGGCAGCTGAACGGATTCTCAATAGGCGTTCAGATCCAAGAATAGATTAACAAACAGAATGAACCTGAACCGGTGCCCTTGATTCCAGCTTAGGGCTCTCGCTCTAAACCTTGCTGCCTGCTGCCTTAGCGTGGCTCACGGAAGCCACTTTAGGAATACACTCCCTGGGGGGCTGGATACGACTCAATTAGCAATGCACTTGTCACACAAGCCTAAGGACCTCAGCTTGGATACTAGCGCCTCCATACAAGCTGGATGCTGTAGCACACTCCTTAACCCCAGTGCTGCGGCACAGAGACAGGCAGGTCCCTGGAGCTCATTGGTTAGCCAGTGTAGCCGAGTCTGAACTCCAGGTTCAGTGAGAGACCCTGCCTCAAAAAACACAAGGTGAAAAGTAATCGAAGACGACAATGAAAATTTCTGTTTTCCTAGTACATGCAGCCGTGCATGTATATGTACAATGCACACACACTAACATGGGCATGTGCACACACATGCGCCTGCAAGAAATAAATGCAGACACTGGAGTCCGGTGCTTCTAAAAGGCAGATGCCTGGCCATAGAACCCACAGGGTAAACTCCAAGCTTTCACAATTAATCCAAGATAGACCTACTGGCTCTCCAGCACCCTGGATGTTGACGGACCCGTCAGAGTGAAGATGCAGGTCTTTGTCAACGCCATCCGCAGGCAATGCTGGCCACCTGGTGTAGACAAATTGTCGGAGAGTATGCTATCCTACTGGTAAATTCCAGCTGGGTGGCTACTCTCGCAGGTTGAACGCTGCAGGAATGTTTCACTGCAACTCTGAGTGCTAGCTTGATGCATGGGTGTGGGGGCGCCCAGATCACTATACACACACTAAGCTGCTTGTGTTCCTCTCAGTCACGCAGGAGGCCTCATGTCCTCTGTGGCTTCCTGTTTGCTAAGAACGCTTTCACCCTTGGCCTGCTGAAGACAGGCCTTTGCAGGCTGAGGGAAAGCCTCCGGCTGCCGCTTTTGATTCTGGGCTTCCTGCCGCTGCAGCCTGGGCACGTAGCTTGGGTTGAAGGCGGTGGAGCTGGTGCCAGAGGGTTGCACACATGATACCTGCAAGGTGCACTGATGAGATCTGTTGATGGGTTTCCTAGGATATGTTTTGAGCTACAAGATACGGAAAACCTTCAGGCTCCATTACAGAGACACAGAGCCATGCCAAACGCCAAGCGAGCATGCAGGCCGGGCAAGTGACCTCAGAAACCATGGGTTGATTTCTCTATGAATGGTTTCCGTGTGGACGGGGGATGGCAGCGGCTTCCACGTGCAAGCTGTCACCCCAGAGCCTAGCTACTCCAGTGGGCATGGGTAGAGGTGCGTCCACAGGTGCCACACTCTTGCTGAGAAAGCCCTTGCCATGACGGGGATGGGGGGATGGGGGCGCTGCTGGGGGCAGGGCTGGTCATAGCAGCTGTTGCTTGTGGCCCTAGAGAAGGTTCCAGACCTCATCTTTTCCTCATTTCCGAGGGGAGAAAATAGAAACCAAAGGACATTCTCACACTCACATAGGGAAGATGGCAAATCCCTTGCTTATCTCTCAGGACTCTTACCTGAAGCAAGACTGCTTTCCCAGCATGCTAAACTGCCTTCCTCCTGGGCTGTCCTGACCCCTGGAGGCTTTTCTTTTTCTTTTTCCTTCCTTCCTTTCTCCTTTCTTCCTTTCTCCTTCCTTCCTTCCTTTTTCCTTCCTTTCTTCCTTCCCTCCCTCCCCTCCTCTCTCTCTCTCTCTCTCTCTCTCTCTCTCTCTCTCTTTCTCTTGTGCTTTTGATTTTGAGACAGGGCTTCTCTGTGTTGCGGGCCCCTCAAGAGATCCACCTGCCTCTGCCTCCTGAGTGCTGGGATTAAAGGCATGTACCATCACACCCTGAGCCAGGGGATTTTCTGATCGTGAGCAGCCGTGATTTAGCCAGTTGGATGTTTTCTATAGCTCATTAGACCATCTTCTATTTTCTAAGATACGATACATAGAAATTAATAACTCAAGACTAACTTTATTCATAACTTTATTTATGAGGTTCTTCTCAAGTTGAGTTCCTGAGTTGGACATCAGTTTTGACTACATGGTAACTTAACCAAATCCTCCAGGCTTATTTTGGTCCACACACTAAAGACCCCAGAATTTTGTAGGATTGAAATATTTGTCATCCCACTCTTTGACTTCTGGTCTCTCTTTTTATGTAAAGGGACATTTCATAGAGACCTTTTGTTAAGTTGAAAGCTCCAGCTGGGGTTTGGACATAACATTACTCAAGTTGGTTGATTATTATTATCATTATTATTATTTGGTGGCACATGACAGAAACCCAACCCTAGCTTAATCAATGAAGGGTCTTACCCTTGGGAACCTGGTGGAGAACCAACATCCCACACACAGTAAGTCCTGTTTTCTACATTTTGGGCTCTCAACATTTTCAAGGTTCAGTCTGTGGCAGGTGGACTCCATACAGGGACCGAGGGCAGAGTCTTGGGGAGGAATCAAAGGCTAAGTTTAAATAAATGTATCCTGAAGCAGAAGGGACATTCATCCCCAGGGGAAGACATGGCTGCTTCCCACCAGGAACCTCCTGTGTACACAGATGCAGGGTTCTAGGAAACAGGCTTCCTAGATCCCAGAGCACTGTGCGCTGATGCACATGCAGAATAAGTAGATAAAGGAGGCTGAGGGTGGGGTCCTTTGAGGGCAAGGAGGGTGGGGGTGGGGGCTCTTTGAGGGCAAGAGGGTGGGGGTGGGGGCCTTGAGGGCTAGCCTCCTGAGACGGGGCTGGGGGTGTCGGCAGTGGGAACCCAGGTAACTGGAATTTCCTTGGGTAGGGACGGAACAATGTAGTGTGCTTTCTACAGCTACATTACATGCAATTGGGGTGCAGTGAACCATGTCTGGATATATGGGGTGGGGAGTGCAGAACTAGCCCCTCATATGTGAAAACAGCATGACCTTGGGGCTTCTACTGTGGCCTGAACATTCGTGTTCCCTATTACTTAGGGAACTGTGCACCCACAAGGGGATAGTGAGGGTGTGGGGATTATGGGACGTGATACGGTCACCAGTGTGGAGCCTGGGTAGAAGGGATTCTAGGGACTTAAAGAGGTAACCTGGTGCTCGCTTCGGCAGCACTTATACTAGAATTGGAACGATACAGAGAAGATTAGCATGGCCCCTGTGCAAAGATGACATGCAAGTTCGTGAAGCATTCCATATTTAAAAAAAAGAAAAAAAGAAAAAGTAACCTGTGAAGCTCTCTGTCCCTTCTTCCATGGAGGACACAGCCAGGAGGTCTGTGGACCAGAAAACTGCTTCCATCTCACCTACAGCCTCCAGAATTGAAAGAAATAAAATTATGCTCTTAGCAAGCCCCCAGGCTGTGGTCTTCCAGTGTGCAGCCTGACTGGATGAGGAAGTCGCTGCACACAGACTTACTAAATAGGATCTTAAGCATCCCAGAATGGTCGCTGTGTACGAACTAGCGTGCAGTGCCCTGAAATCGAGGAAGGATCCACATAGAGCCTAGAGAGGTTCACTCTCACTGAGAGAAGCCTGGTCCGGGGTGCAGTAAGACCAAGTAGACAGCCAGCAATTGTGTCAGAAAGAAGGTGTGTATACTGGCTAGGACCGAGGTAACGTCACCCTAGCTGGGATGTCCCTGGTTTGGCTGAAGCTGGTGCATTCCTGGTGCTAGGACAGGTGGTAAAGCTCTCTACACACCACCCTGGTGGTTCCTCCAGGTATTGTCTGCTGGGAGCTCTGCAGACACACTGTCCCAGGGCCACTCCAAAATACTGGAGTTCCTGCTGCAACTGGGCTACTGCACCTTCACCAGTAGCCTCTCCCGGGCTCTCTTCAGGGTCTCTGATATGTGGTGCCTCTTTCCAGGATCCCTTCCATTCTGGAGTTTTTACTGCAACCGAGATTGACGTGTTGACCCATGGCCTCTCATGGTGCCAAGCCTCAGCTGCTTTTCATGACCCCTGCAAGCCTTCAAAGCCAGTACCAACTTAGAAACTTTTATCCAGGGCTGGAGAGATGGCTTAGTGGTTAAGAGCACTGGCTGCTCTTCCAGAGGTCCTGAGTTCAATTCCCAGCAATCACAACCATCTGGAATGAGATCTGGTGCCCTCTTCTGGCATGCAGGCATACATAGAGGCAGAATGTTGTATACATAATAAACAAATAAATAGATAGATAGATAGATAGATAAATAAATCTTAAAAAAAGAGAAACTCTTATCCATTATCAAGTTCATTGGCCAGCATGAGGCACAGCCTTGGCTCTCCGTGTGCACACAGTGTGCTGACCCTGAGGAAGCACGCCCCAGGAGATGTCACCTCAGTGATGCTGGCCTCTTCTCAATCACAGCTGATTCTTCAGCCCCAACAGAGCAGCATCCATTGTCCTAGCAAAGCAAAGGCTTCATTCACATCAGTGGTTCTGGTCTCTTGTTAACGACAAGGGATTCTTCAGCCTTAGCTAACCAGACACCACAGATTCTTTTTTGCTTGTTTGTTTTTGTTTTGTTTTTCGAGACTGGATTTCTCTCTGTAGCTTTGGAGCCTGTCTTGGAACTCACTCCCTTACTCTGTAGACCAGGCTGGCCTTGAACTCAGAGATCTGCCTGACTCTGCCTCTGAGTGTTGGGATTAAAGGTGTGCACCACCACCACCTGGCTCCACTACAGATTCTTAATGCAAAGCACCACACTAATTGCCCGGCGGAACCTTCAGGTGATGACCCTCTACTCTCTGCCCTACTCCTGGGTTTATATTCTAAGTCCCCAAATAGGTCATTAAGCTCTTAGCACTGAATGGCTTTTCTGGTTCTAAGTTCTAAAGCCCTTCCACAATCCTCCTCCAAACACAGTCAAGTCTATCACAGCAATACCCTGCAAAACGACCTGGTACCAATCTCTCTCTTAGTTATGGTTTCTATGGCTGTTATAACGCATAATTACCATGTTATGAAACACAAGACTTGGAGAGAGATAGGGTTTATGTCAGCTTCCAGTTCTCCATCAGAGTTCATCATCAAAGGGAGTCAGGGCAGGAACTGAGGGAGAAACATGGAGGAGAGCTGCTTACTGGCTTGCTCCCCATCACTTGCTCTGCCTGCTTTCTTTTAACACTCCTGCTCAGGGGTGGCGCCCTCGACAATGGGCTGAGCCCTCCCACGTCAATCACTAATTAAGAAAATGTCCCACAAGCTTGCCGGTAGGCCAATCTTACGGAGGCATTTTTCTCAGCTGAGGGCCAGTCTTCCCAAACGACTCTGGCTTGTGTCAAGTTGAAATAGAATTAATCAGGATGTACATAGTAGGCCATGGGGGTGCTAGGAAAGATAAGATGCAAAAATAAAAGCAGGCAATTCACTGACTAAGAATCCAAGGGGCTTCTGAATGAGGCAATAGTGGTCTTTACCTTACGTCTTTCTGAGCCTTGGCTTGTTCTTCAAGCCAGGTGTGGGAAGATGGATTTCTTGAAAGGCCTCCAGGTAACCTGCAAGTGTAGTTCTCACAACAGGCTTCTAGGCGGTGGTTGCTGCTGCACACAATCTAAGACAGCAGTGCAGAGCTCTGTGGGGCTGACGGCTGGAGACCTCAAGCAACAACCGTCCCTCCAGACTTCTCCTCTTGGCAGGAGGACCACGCCAGGGGCACGCTGTTATTTATACTTGGACACATGCTGTGTGAAGTGATGGACACCTGCCGTCAGCCCCACAGGTCAGATGCAGAACAGTGTGAGGGCCGTAAATAAGACTGGGCTTGCCCTGCAGGCTGTCCCCACTCAGGTGGGTAGTAGCTCCTGTTAGATTCTCCCATAATAAAGTCACACCCAGATTGGAGCAGTTTTTAAATCAACACGCACGGGCTGGAGAAATGGCCCAGCGGTTAAGAGCATTGCCTGCTCTTCCAAAGGTCCTGAGTTCAATTCCTGGCAACCACATGGTGGCTCACAACCATCTGTAATGAGGTCTGGTGCCCTCTTCTGGCCTGCAGGCATACATGCAGAAAGAATATTGTATACATAATAAATAAACAGATAAATATTTTTTTAAAAAAATCAACATGCGCACGCACGCGCACACATACATACACACACACACACACACACACACACACAACTGAAAATACATGGGGTTGCCATCTTCCCTACCAATAGCACCCTTGCCTCTAGGTGCTCTGGCTAACAGGTGACCTGGATGTCTGCGGATGCTCAGGTAGAGAGACGCCATGGCGCGTGTCCGGAAGTCTTCAGTGAATGAGAAAACTTGCCTGAGAATTTGGGTCTGACTCTCAGATCCTGTGCCTGAGTTTGGGTAGAGGCAACACCAGAGTCTGCTCTCTCTTCTGGACAGTAGCCAGAGGGGCAAAGAGGGGAGTACCCTAGGACGCGGTACCCACACCTTCTACTTCCTAGCTTGAGTTGCCCCCTTGTGTCTGGTGCTTCCTCTCTAGTGAGCAGGCCAGTGATTTATGATACAGGTATGGGTTTGGGAGAGGCAGCCCTGTGCCTAAATATAGCACCTCCTCTGGCCATAAATGGGAGGGGAAGCTCGGAGCTTTGCGGGGAGAAATTAGCTCTGCTGACCGGAGCCAGTGTCTGGGAAACCCTTCTGACCGTTGTTTTCTCCGTTCAGGCTCTTCTCCTCTGGGTGAGTCTTTCTCCTTTCCTCAGATGCGACTTTCGGGAGACCACAGAGCATGCTGCAGCTGCATTTCCTTTCTCAAATTCAGAGCCTGGGAAATTGCTTCCTGCAGGTATTCCTGATAGGACAAATCAAGGGATTCCACCCAAGGTGTGCCTCTCTTTAGGCACAGCCAGGATCCCTCCCCACCCCCTGCCTTTTCTTCTTCCCCTACCCACTCCTGTTCCCCTTCCTTTTGCTTCCTTTTCCTTCCTTCTCTGCCTCACTTTTGAAGGGGGAGGATCACATATCCCAGGCTGGCCTTGAACTTCTGAGGTAGTCAAGGACGACCTTGAACTTGTGATCCTCTTGCTTTCACCTCCTGAGCGGCAGAATTCTGGAATCAACAGGTGTGTGCCACCAGACTTTTGTGCTGTGCTGGGGATCAAACCCAGGGCTGCAGGCATGCTAGACTAGTTCTCTACCAACTGAATTACACGCCTAGGCATTGCCCCCAAGGTGGTTCTTTATTTCCCGATGTTCTGGGCCTTATGGTTGTATAAATCTGACGCCCCTTCAAGGTAGGTTGTGCCCCCTGGGTTTCCTACCCTTTTGATTTTTTAAAAAACTGTTCCTAAATCTGCTGATTGAAGTCTGAGGTTCTTACAAAGGATCAGCGATGAAGAGAGGAGGAGAGGGCGGACTAGAAAAAGGAGATAGTCTTGTGGGGTAGAGGGCAGAGAAACACGGGGCTTGGGCTTAGAGCTTGGGCAGGACTTGGGAGTTTCAGGCATTTTCAGTGAAAGGGCAATTGTGGGTTGTTGGATTTCCTTTGCTTGTACATTTGGAGTTTGGATCCTGCAGGTCGTCGGCGCCGTGCCTTGTGCGGAGCTGTGTGCAGAGAGCTGCGCCTGCCAGGAGATAAAGGGGTTCCTACTGCGTCTGAGTGCATTCGAGGGCTGGAACCTCAGCTCTCTCTGTCACCTGCCCCACATTCCTTCCTTACTGAGAGCAGTAAAAACAGGAAGCAAAGGGCACGTGGGACCAAGACACTTAGAGGTGATATGGAATAAATGGGGACCCCAGATAAAAACCTGCCCTAGAAGCCAAGGGCTTATTTTCTGGGGCCCACGCCAACTCCACGTGCCCTCTGGAGATGCTGTGCCCATGAGCTCACTGCCTGGCACTTCTAGCTCTGCAAAGGCAGAATGGAGCAGAAGTGAGGGTAAGCGGCCGGACTCTCTGGAAGGATGCTAGATCTTACCTGCAGCATGTTTGTATGACACTCATAGGAACCGGGGAGCGAGGGGAGACGGTCAATAGAACTCAGTGAGGCTTTTATGACTGCTGACTTAATTTCCCTTTGTGAAGTCGGGTGACTCTGTGGGTTGCTGTAAGGATTGCCTAAGTGGGAGCTGCCTGGGATTGTTTCTGTGTCAACTTCAACACTGTTGAAGTATTTAGGGGAGCCAGCGAGCCCTCACAGACAGCTGAGTGCATTGTGCATACGAAGTTGGACCCTTCTGTATCTTATGTCAAGCCAAGGCTCTCAGAGGAGGAGCCTTGCAAAACCCAGTCATGTTTAAT